GAGGAAGAGGCCTATTATGGAATATGGTCTCTCATCCAAGGACTTAAACGAAACAAAAAAGATGGACCTACAGGAGTTTGAGAAAAGGAAATAACAAAATTTGGGGGAAGAAGAGGGAAGAGCTGAGGCACAGGTGGAAATGAAGCTCAGAAGAGAAGACAGAAACTGGCCATCTCACCAGTCTCGCCTCATGCGCTTCTGTGGAGGGCTAAGCTCATGGCGGGGAGGAGAGAAGCGCTCTCGCCGATTCCGATCATAGTCACGATATTCACCCCGACTGCGGCGCTCCCGGCCACGGTCCCACTCTCTGGAGGTAAGAACAAGTATGTAAGACACAGTGAGAGATCCTAAAGTCAACCTTCGTAATCCCCTTCTACCCAGGTTAAAAGCTACTATAATATTACGCTCTAAAACACTCTACTTCTATTACTTCAGCCATTACTCACAAATTAATGGCTTTCCTATTCTTCCCCTGGCTTGGTCTTTTCCCTGAGGTCCAGACCAGTTATCAGTATCCCCCCCTACTCCCCCACTGTCACCTCAAAATACTATGTCAAAATTGAGTCTGTTATTTCTACCACTATGAACCCAAACATGCTTCCCTCCTCCTGTCTCCTTCTCTCTAGTGCCATATATCAATCATTAGGTTTCACCCTCTCTCCTTATAATTTCGCTAAACTCTGCCTTGGCCCTGGGTCTGTTTCCTGTAACAGCAACACTGGTTTATTTACCTACCCTTGGTCTTTCCTTGTAATCTATGCTATTGTCAAAGTGTTCTTTCTCATACAAAGATCTCATGGTGCCATGCCCTTGCTTAACAGCCTTACTGGTCTCCCTGGTGACCTAGGGGTTGTGTCTCAGCATTTTCAATACTATGGCCTGAGTTTCACCCCAGCCAGGGAGGTGACCCACATATGGCATAGCAGACTGGTCCTGTCTCACCTGCTGCTCCCCTCAGCAGTGTAGTTCAGCTCTGCTCCCCACTGTCTCTGGTTAATCCTCTTACCTCTCACACCTCAGGCCTACACCCCGATTCTATGCAATTTTTTGTAAAAGCCACTAAAGAAAACTGCTCAAAATTGTGGCTTCTGGCTGTCATTCCATCTGCAGCAGTCACAGCCTCCCCTATCCACCTCTGAACAAAAGAAATCCATTTTCTTTTGTTCATTTGCTGTAATCCATTTTCAAACCTTTTGGTCTTGGAACTCCATCATCCTCTTAGAATGACTAAAGGTTAGATTTTGCTTATGTAAGTTATAGTTTTCTACATTTAACATGTTCAGAGTCATCAAAAATAAATTTTCAATTTATACCTTAACATAACTGCATGTCTATGAAAATGACTATTTTCTCAATAAGTTTTAGTGAGATAAGTTCCGTTGCTTTTATACTTACAGTTTTTCTTAAGATCTGACTTAACAGAGACAGCTGGATGATTCTCCTATTTGCTTCCAATCTGTTGTGATATGTCACTTGGTTAAAAAATATGAAGGAAATCTAACCTCACGCTGATATGTAGTTGGCAAAGAGAATAAATACTTTAATGGCCTTTCGATAACCTTTGATACTACCCAAAACTTGACAAGAGGTAGTTTCTTAAAGACTAGGTGCAATGTTAAATGAGAAGCCATACCAATGGACATGTTATATACTGTTACCAAAATCCATTGTTCTATTCAAAAGATCTATTTTTGAATGGATCTTAACACATAATATCTCATTACACAATATCGAAACATCATACTCATTAGTATCACTATCATGCCCATCAGAAAAGTTTTTAAGTAGAGGAAGCTGTTAAGCTCAGGCTACCTAATAGTAGATATGAATAACCACCACTTGACATTCATTCAAAAAATAGCATTTTGCAACTCAATCCCATACATGCTTTCCTCAAGGTTATCAGTATACTACCCCAGTATGCAGAAATGCTTTACGCACATTTCCCACATGTATTAAAATGAATCGATATAATCAAGAATCAAGAAATAAAAATCAAGAACCCAACTTAGTAAAATTTTAAACTTTTACTGCTTCACAAGTGGTTAAATAAAAATGAATTTTTTTAACTGGTGCCATGGCCTTGATTTGTGCGAAGGGAGCAGTAGTTTTAGCTATAGCACTGGCAGTACAAATGTCCATACCGTAAAAGCATCATCTTAAATATTACTGTAAAAACGACTGTAACCTCACAGATACACCTCTGCCCAAGTCTGCGGATCCCTTTTGAAAACCCAGAATACGTGTTCTTTTCTACAAACATGTTACATCCAACTCTAAGCTTTTCCCCTCCACCAATATGTGGGAAATTCCTACTCATCTTTCTAAGTTGTGCTAAGTGTCATTTCCCTGTAGTTCTTTCTCCCTCATACTTATCCACTTCTCCCTCCTCCAGGTAATCTAGTCTTTCAGTGATTACCATCTTTATGATGACCCCTCAACGTACACATTTGCAGTGTAAGCTCAAGACCCAGACTAGTAACTTAAAGGAAATAACCAGGTTATCCAGAATTCACAGAAACATTTTCCTTCTGTCTTAGAAAATACCAAGAAAGGCCCTCCCTGGTGGCACAGTGGATTAGGATGCACCACTGCAAGCCAGCAGCTATGGTTTCAGTGCAGGTTCGATCCCAGCTCCGGAGCTGACCCACATGGCCCAGCAGACCTCTCCTGTCTTGTCCATGCTCCCCTCAGCAGTGTACTTCATCGATCTGCCTGTTCTGCTCCCCACTCTGTCTCTGGTGAATCCTCTCACCACCCTGCAATTCTGGCCTGTACCCCAGTTCTGTATGCATAAATAAATAGTAAAATGAAAACACCAAGGAAAAGAAAGTGCCACACTCCACAGTGAAGACAAATCCTATATGACAGACTGACTTACTAAACTCATTTTTTCAAACAATGTTGAATGAAAACATGGCATCACAGTAAGTCATCTCAAACTTTTTTCTGGTAATGTTTCCAACTGGAACCTGTGCTACCAATTAGCTACTTATAACACCACTTAAATAAGGAAAAAAAATCTTTCACAGCTCTTCTCATCTCCATTACCCATCAGATAGTTCTTACGAGCTTAAAAACACCTCCACTCTTGAACTTTTAAGAATGCCCCAGAAAGCTGATCACGGAGTCAATTCAATCAATCCAACCAACACCGTGTGCAAGAACACTCTGATTTTAGGCAAGAAATTAGTCTGCCAAAAACCTGGTCTGACAACTTCCCCAATCATGTGAAATCTCTATTGTCTTGAATCTTCCTTTGGCTGGTCTAATGTGCAAACAATAAAATACACACATTTTAAGTACATGTTGTAGGTACTGCTTTTTCATACTCTCACTTCTAACGGTTTGATCTATGCGACATTTCAAAAACCAAGTCTTGGGTAGCTCTTTGGCCAACAAGTGCACCCAAATAGGCTTAACCACTAGCGGCTTCATATGGCTGGTCCTCGTAAGATTATAAAGGAAACGCCATGAGTGAGGTGGAGTGAAACAGGATGAGATCGGGACAAAACTGCAGAAAAGGAGAGTCGTACCGGTCATTCCAGTCGTCCCCTCGACGTCTTTCATCTCTTTCCCGGGAACGATCATAGTCGCTGCGCTCTCTTCTAAACTTATCCCTGCGCCTTCGGTCATACTCGTCATCACTGTCACCCATGGCGCGGTCTGAGGGGCCTGGAGGCCGGACAGAGGTGGTCAGGATGGTGAACAATGACGAGAGAGGGAAGGGACTGCCCCCTCGGCAGCGGCGCGCCCGCCGCCCCCCGCGAAGGCCAGCCTTCGGCCCCCGCCATCCTCAGTCCTAGTCCCTGGAAGGTGCAAGGCCCCGACACTCCACCAGCCCCCAGGGGCCACCCCGCCCACCCCCAACCGGCCCAGCCCCGGCTCCGCAGGCCCCTCCCCCACCTGGGAGCGGTCGCGGCCGTTAGTCTCGCGCTCCCGAGGGTTGGTTTTCCTGGAGACGTGGGCCCGCCCCTAGCCTCTGGCGCGCGGCGACTACAGCGAGGAGGATGAAAGGGAGACACGGGGCAATCGGCTGGGGGAGCGAGGAAACGCGAAGAAAGTGGGACAGCAGATGATGAGCGGCCCGCGCGCGCCACGCGCCCTGCGCCTGCGCCACCCGTAGAACGGCGCCGCCGACCACACGCCACCCCCCACGCGGCCTGAACTGGAACTAAGGCACGGAGAGAAAGGCGGGGAGGCTCGGGGAATGATGGGAAGGGGCGGGGCCGCTGAAGTCTCGCGCTCTTTCTTCGGCGAGAACCGCGCGGGTGAGGGGAGCTACGGGATCAGGAATGGGCCAAGCGTGGCCTCGGCGGGGAATGATAGCGATTTCTGTGAGTGGAGGGGTGCTTCCGGGCGGAGACAGAAGGACGCGCTTCCCTGGAGGCCCGAACCTGTTTTGTCCCGCCATGTACCTCGGCACGACGGTCAAGGCGTCACCTGACGAGTTTTCTTCGTGGGTGGTAGGGAGGGTTGGACCTTCTCACGCAGGGCAGGCACTTGGGGGATGTGAATGTTTAGCGACTACAACTACCATTTTGAGTCACCTCCTCCCACCATTTTGTGTCCCTGTAAAGAACCAGGCTTTATTGGTGTCTTAGTACGCGATACCTGCATAACTCATCGTTCCTGCTCTTTGACAAAGGCGCCCACCTTTAAACCAAACTGGCAAATCTTGGTATTATCCCCAGCTAGTGTTTGATAAGTTGTGAGTTCAGTGTAGTGTGTGTGCAGACATAAGAAGAGAAAATGCTGCCTCCCTGGAGCGCCCTGCAACCAGTGCCCCCATCACTAAGAAAAGAAAGTTTTTACTACGTTTATAGTGTGTAGGGGACAAAAACTGGACCAGGATTTAAGAGCTATCTTGGTTACGCCATTTGGGACCCATGCAATCTGGGGAAGTTGCTTTTCAGCGGAAAAACACACAGTAACAAGTGTGCTGGCCTGCTGTAAGAATCAGATGAAGCAATAGACTTGAAAGTATTTGTAAACTCTTGAGGGATTATTATTTCATGATCAGAGGAAAAGACAAGATTCTGTGACAAAATTGTAAAAATAGATGTCGGGGAGGGAGGTCAGTGACAATGGAAAAGTAGCAGCTGCTTCTGGGAAGACTCAGCAGTCAGTGGTGACAGTGGCTGAGAGCTCCTGGATGCGCCAGGCACTGCAGGCCTTGCATAGGATGTGCCCATCCAGCGGGTAACAGCCCTGACACTCACCCTCAGAGGAGAGCAACAGCCCACATTCCTGTTGGGAAGGAAGCAACAGCTTTCAGACACAGATCGCTGGGTTCCTTCACCCCTATACTTTACCATACCCAGCAACCCAAACCCCAAGAATCCCTTTCCCCTTGCCCAGGCCTCCTAACCTCACACTTGTAACAGCCAATGTGAAAACTGCGATCCAGGGCAACGATTCGCACAGTTTCCTCCTGGCCTGGCTCGGGCATGATAGCCCCACCACATACTGAGCATCGTGGGGCAAACTTCCTGGGGTAGAATGGAACCAAGGAGGCTATCAACCCCAGGGCTGGGTGGAACTAACAGAGCCAGAGAAGATGGGGTGAGAGAGGTAACAGGAGAGACCAAAAATTTGGTCTTAGATCTCAGGAATGAGAACCATGTTTCCCTGGGTTGGAGAAATAAGAGGCTGTAACTGGGACATGAAGAAGAAATGAGAGACCAGATTGGGGACCCAGCCTGACCTGTGGAAGTCCTCAATGCAGTGGATCTGGCTGGTGGCGTCCACCGTGAAGGGGATGCCATCAAGGCCACGGTGACACACCACACAGGTGAAGCAGCCAGGGTGATAGGCCTTCCCCATAGCCCGAAGGATCCTGTCCAGGATGGGCTGGGAGCATGTGGAGCACTTCTCCAGGGTGGCCTGGAAAGACAGCCAGTAGGTCAGTGTTGGGCAGGCCATGGCAGGCCTGTAGGCATCCTGTTTCTGTAGCCCCCTACATGTGATCCATGAAAGGGAGCAAAGCATCCAACAGATCTGAGTATGAGTGCTAACCTCTCTTCTGAGCTGCTGTTTCCTGCCTCACAGGGGTATTGTAGGAATTGAACACATTCCCTTAACTGTAAAGTAAATGCCCCACACTTGGAAGGGACTGTTGTCCTTACCACCCAAAAGACTGGATTTAGCTACTTATTAATTCTCCCTTCTTCCTGTCAGTTACAGGTTTTGAGCCTTGTTCTTCTTTAGTGTTTGAACATCTAGTCCCCAACTTAGGTGGAAGCTGCCTGCCTTCTGCTGCTGACTCCAGCTTCCAACCCCTCGGCCCCAAAGTCCCAAATACTCACCACATAGCAGTTCTCACAATACGCCTTCTTCTCTACAGCATAGAAGTGTTGGCCCCGCAGCTGGGCCCGGCATGTGGAACACACAAAGCAGCTAACGTGAAAGACACGGTCTAGGGCAACGACCCCAGCCCCATCCCCCACCACATCTTCTCCACAGCCACCACACCGGCCTGAGGACATGGAAGGAGAAGCGTCAGTGTGCAAAACCAGGAGCTAGATCCCCTGTTCCTCTGAAGCTCCAGGTGCCCCCGCCCTCACCACCACCACCATCACTGCCCATCAGCTCAGCTCACCAAAGTACTCCCCACTGGGTGGGCAGTTCATGTCCTGCACCAGCTTCTTGGTCAGTCTCTCAAGCTCCTCCTCAGGTGGCTGGTTCAAGGGGACCTGGGAAGTGGTATCATTTGTTCAGTCCAGCCTCTACCTCCCAATGTGTCAAAATTCCCGAGTGTGGCCAGGTAAGTCCACCCAGAAAGCTCATCCAGAAAAAATTCTCACCCTGGGGACCAGGGGAAGGCCTGGAGCAGCCGTTGCGAAGCTCTCACCTCTCCACCCCCTAACTACCACCCAGTACCACACCACCCCCAGGTCCTTTGTCTCCTGAACTGCCCCACATCCCTGAGGGATCCCTCATCCTGCCCAATCAGTGCACAGTGGTCTGTGAGGATCCCAAACCCCAGTACCCAGGGCTCACCTGGGCCCCGTATCCTCTTCTTCCTCCTCCTGCAGGGCCGGGGACCCCGGCAGCCTCCTCTTTACCCCCTGGCCCAGACTCACGGTGGCTCCTATAACCAGACCCCCAGATCTCACCTCGGCCCGGGTGAGGGAAATGAGGGCTCAGGAGGGGCCCGGTGGCCTGAGAGGTCCCCCGCCTTGGGGGGCCACAGCCTCTCACTGGCTGTGCCACCTTCACTTGCACAGGGAAGGCAGGGCCAGCAGGGGTGGTGGCTGTGGTATAGGAGGCTGGAGTCGGGCCCCCATAGGGGGATACTGGGAGTGACGGGGGAGGAACACCCCCTCCATTCAGCTTCAGGGAACCTGAGCCAGTGCTGTAGGCAGGGAGATGAGGGGGCTCATAAGCCTAGGGAGAGAGAGATACCAGAAGGCATGAGCAGGACCCATTCTAGGAATACACCTGTGGAAGCCCCCCTCCATGTGTATGGCCCCAGGTTTATTAATAAGGTTCTGCCCCCAGCAGCTGACAACCTAGTGAGCTCTAGTCCTGCTTCTTCCATGACAGGGAAGAGGTGGCAGTGGGTGGGGGGAGTGTGGGGGAGGTGGATTGCTCTGAGAATCTAAGGATGGGATCAGACTAGTGGGGAGGAGGGGCAGGAGACCCCCAGGTAGTCACCTGCCGTTCTGGCTGCCTTGGGGCTTGGCCACGACCCCCATCCATCTCAGCCAGCATGCTGGTCAGTGAATCTATCTCAGCATCCAAGCTTCCTGGGCGCAAGGCTCCCCTGTCTGGGGGAAACCCCTGGGGATAGAGAAAAAGAAAGAAAATGAAAATCACAGATTCTCCTTCCCTACCGTGGTGCTCCCACACCCTCACCCACTCATCCCAGTCTCACCTGTGAGCGCTGGGGTGCTCCATGGCACCCCATCCAGGCCAGCCCCCGATCCTCTGGTCCCCCCAGTACCTGGTAACACTGCTCAGAAGGGAGGGGGCAAAAGTTGACCCTGGGGTGGGGCTGCAGCGCTGAGGTGTGGAGAGAAACAGTAAAGGGACGGATGGGAAAGCGGCGGAGAGTGACATTCGTGGAAGCTGCCCTCTTGGGTTACTATTCTCCCCTTCCCCACCTCACCTGGATTCCGAGAATGGGGCTGGAGGCAGGGAGGGCAGCTCCCAGGCCAGCCTGGGGGAAGCGGGGGGTAGGAAGCAGGATTGGGGGTGGAAGGGAGCCGGAGAGCAGACATGAGCGCCGGGCAGCCTGTGGAGTCCTCCCAGCCGCACCGGCCCACCTTACCTGCGCCGTGGGCTGGTGGCGTCCCCGGAGCACCTCGGGGGAGCGCTCTCCCGTGAGAAGCTCTGGCGTGCTCTGGCTGCTTCGGAGGGAGCCAGGTGGGTCCCGACATGGCCTGGAACGGGGGACTCCGGACAGCGGCAGGGCCCCAAGGAGCCCCAAGCCTCTGGCCTGGACCACTGCTTCCGCCCCACACCTCTGTTAGGACTCCAGGAAAGAAACTTTTTCTGGCTTTTTTCCTCCTTCCTCCCCAATTTTGGGGATGGCCACGCCCCCGGTGACGTCACCGCATTCCGGGGGGAGAGTCACGTGGCCCCCTAGGCCCTAAACTGCAGTCCCTCCCGTAGTCGGCCCCCTCCTGCCCAGCGAGAATCGCTTTCAGCCCGACCCCCAACGGGGCTGTGGGCAGCTTCTGTTAACCCAGTTTCCCTCCCCGCTGGGATGCCCTAAGGCCCTCTCCCACACACCCCCAACAAGCAAATCTCTCCCTCTCCCCACAGAACTCCCTCCAGCAGTGCTAAGCCAGCCCGTAGTGTAGTGTTTTGGTCTTTTATTCACGTTCAGCAGTTAGAAAAATAAAACAAAAATGTCACAACCTCAGGGGTTAGCGAGTCTGTCGGGGAAGGGAAGACTGAGGTAGCCTAGTCACAAGCGGAGACCCAGCCCCCTTCAAGGCACCGGTGAAGAGAGGGAGGCCACGGAGAGGGCAGCCGCTGACTTCCATGCCTCCATATTAGTGCACCCGGGGCCCTCTCCCTAAGACTGACATGCCAGAGACCAGGATCCCCCAATAACACCACTGGGCTCCAGTCCCATGTGAGGTCAGGGCCAGGTGGGCTGGCAGGAGGCAGCCCTTCCCTTCATCTGCTAAGCAAGGTAGGCAGTGGGGCCTGGTGGCTCTCCCACACTACTGGAATGGGGCATCAGATATCAGTGCAAGTGACTGGGGTGACACCATGAATGAGCAGCGTGGGGCCCAGATCCTGGGTCAGAATCTCCAGCAGCGCCAAGTACTGGGGGTAGCGCGCAGGATCTGCAGGAGGTCGAGGAAGGTACAGGAAGGTGAGGGCAGTGGCAGGCCCCTCCTGGCCATCCCCACCCTCAGGTCTTCCTTCTCTGCCACGCCCCTGCTGGGCCCGGACCAGGGCGTTGGCACTGCACGCCAGGGCCTCTGCCTCAGTGTCTCCCCGCCTACCATTCACAAAGTCCCCTTCCTCCTCCTCAGGCCCTGTGGTCCCAGCCCCCTCGCCCCACAGCACTTCCTGCACCTCAGCCCGGATCCTCAGTTGGCTCAGAAGTGCCCGAAGTCGCCCTTCAGCCGCACCAGGAGCCTCCTGAGGCCCCAAGCATAAGAAGATCCGGAGCCTGGCACTGTGCCAGGCAGGCACCATACCCAGTATGGTTGCCATCTGCAGCAGGAAGAGGCCACAGACGTCCACATAGCCTGGTCCACCCCGAGGCCGCAACAGGTTGAGGGGCCAAACATCTACATGATGTGGCTGAGAAGTGCCCCCTGACCCCCGGCTCAATCGTTCAGGAGGCAGAGCTCCACAGGCCCGGGCCAGAACCACATTCTTGTTCATCTTGAGAGCATCTGCCACTGTGGCCACGTAGTCCTGGGGGCTGAGAGCCCGGGGGCTCCCTGGGGCCCGTGGTGGAGGAAACAGGGTGCTGAGGGCTGGGGACCCGCCTTCCCGGGTGCCGTCCTCAGGCTCTGAGAAAGCTGGGTCTGTCAGGAAATGGTCCTGAGGGACGGCATCATCGTAGAAACCTAGGACCAATGTGTTGGGCTTCATGCCACCTGGCAGCAGAGAGGAGGAAGCAGGAAGCAACAAACAGGAATCAGACTCACAGGCTGAGTTCATGATGCCACGTTCACACACACCCACATGAGCAGGCCAACAGCGACATGCGTCAGCCTTCAGGTACAACGTTCCCACTGTGCTTGGGCTCTAAGACAACACTATGCACATTTACATAATGACTTCGTTTTCCCAAACACTTTCATGTGCATTTATTTGATTTGTCTCTATGACTAACTCTGCTACTTAAATAAGGCAATGTTCGTCTTAGCGTTCTTTTAACTAACGAGCGCTTCCAGTCCATGGCCGTCTTCTAACTAACAGTACCCCTTTTTCACGATGGGACACAAATCTGACTCCACTGGGTAGACCAGTCCCTCTGAGTCTAGCTCCTGGCCTGAGTCCCTAGGGAAACAGCGGCCTGTCTCTGCTCAAGGAGGATGAGAATTCACCGCTGGAGAATTCACAGCTGGAGCTGCACAATCTCTGATACTGTAAAGTCCGAATGATATGTTTCCACAGCATGGTCCCCCAAGGAGAGACAGCTAACTAACATCCACATAAAAAGTGGGCAGAGGGGGGCACCTCCTGTTGAAAGCACTTCATGCTTAACTCATTACATCCCAAAGCAACGCTATGAGGTAAGGACTGTTTGTTCTCCCCTTTTACTGATAAGAAACCCCAATGAGGCATAATGCAGTGACATCATTTGCCCAAAGGCTCAGGGCTAGTAGATATGAGGGCTAATGGGTAATCCCAATTCACCCCGCACCAGAGCCTATTCTTGGAACCTCTCAGAGGGTGTGGGGATCAACCACCAAACCCCAGGTCCCTTCCCACAGCTCCTGCTTCTTCGTATGGACTTATCATTGTAGAATTAGATAACCCCCTCCCACCTTTAATACAGATGAGTTTACAAGAAGACAAGAGGCCTCTTCTAAGACACCACCAATAAATTAAATTCTAACTGCCAGAAGAATGTACTGTTCAGGGCCCTCCTTGGTGTCGCAAGGGGTTAAAGCGCAGCATTATGAAACTCTGCAGCATGATTTCAATCCCCAGTCAGGTTGCTGACCCACATGACACACCAGACCTTTCCTATCTCTCCTGCTGCTCCCCTCAGCAGCTCTGCCTATTCTGCCTGCTCTGTCTCTGGTGAATCCTCTCACCCCCTGCACCTCTGGCTTGTACCCCAGTTCTTATACACAAAAAGAAAATCTTTTTTTAAAAAAAAGAATGCACTGTTCAGAGGGAATCCTTCCCCTTTTCTTGGGTTATTTTCGGCAGGATGAATTCTGTGCAAGTAGTGCTCTCTTGGCACAGGATTTCCCACAAAAGCAGGGCCCCGGGGTCTGTGTGAGGATGCCTGACACCAATGACAACAAATTACCTCAGACACCTCTGCAGGTGTGAATGTCAGCTGATCTTGCAAATTAAACTAGTCACACCACCTGCTGAGGAATTTTCAGGGCTCTGATTTACACCAAACCACGCAACGTTTAACACTGTTGCACTTAAGTCAGATTCTAAGTGGAGAAGGAAGCACACAGGAGAAGAGATAGACACCAGTTCGGGGGTAAAGAGGTTGGCCGGTCTGGGCTATGGAGGAAGCTGGGGGCCTCGGCACTAAGGCAGTCACAGCTCTTGGAATCTCCTGTTTCATCTGAAAGCATCAGGGCTCTCATCCCTCCTCAGCATCCTGTGAGGCCACCGTAGCCACAGTACACCACTCTGCGCTCCCTGCACCCAAGACTCAGCTGAGATACCATCTCCTCACAGAATCTGTGATGCCACATCAGTGCACAGCGGTCTTCCTCCCTCTCAAGTGATCAGAAACCATCTGTCCTCCCTGGTGGTGCAGGGGTTAGAGTCCCAGCATTATGAAGCTATCACCAGTCACTGTGACCTGAGTTCAATCCCCGGCCAGGAGTAACCCACATGGCAGGCAGACCTCTCCTGTCTCGCCCACCGCTCCCCTCAGAAGATCCACCTGTTCTGCTCCCCACTCTGTCTCTGGTGAATCCTCTCACCACACCTCTGGCCTGTACTCCTGTAAGCGTAAATAAATAGATCTTTAAAAGAAATACAAAAGACACTACCTGTCCTAGATTTGATGGAATAGAGTAGCCCCGCCCCCTTGTCAAAAGAATTGTCCCCTGAAACATAACATGCTTTTCAGAGCCTGTGCCTTAAATTATTGGATTCGAAAGAACACACACACATGACCCATCTCTGGTCCTTAATATGCTCTCCCCTGAGATATATCAGACACTTATCTTTGAGCACTGAGCCTTATCTGCATAAGACTGTGAGTTCCTTTCTGAGTCTGAGATATGTGGTCACTCTCTAGGGGAGGGGAGTAGCGGCTGAAGGGCCGAGGGGGACTCAGAAAGCAGCAGCTCACCGAGGCCCGAGATCCGCAGCAGATGCTGAGCCCCCTGGCGCACGGAGGGCGAGAGGGTGAGGTCCACAAAGGCCTTGACCTGGGCCCGGTCTACCAGGCTCAACCACGCCCCATACTGTGGCTGCACGGGGTCCGAGGGCAGGCAGTCTGCACAAGGGAGAGAGAAAGGCAGCGAATGTGGGCCAAACTCACAAACTTTCTCCCAGATCCCAAAGGGATGAGAAGAAGGTCTGGCCAGAGCAGTGGCTGCCTGGGAGGGCCACTGGGGAGAAGCACGTGGTCTCTGGGACACAAAGCACAGCAGAGGCTGAGAGGTGCAGGGAGAGGAAGGCTGGGGCTGAGGGCAACTCACCAAGATCTCCCAGAGTGACATGGCCCAGCACATAGAGCCCCCCTTTCTTGAGCTGGTTGGCCAAGCGCAGCAGAGGCAGTGCACCCCGGGGGTTCCCCACCAGAAGCAGCAACTGGGGCCTCCAGAACTTCACATGCTCCTTTCGGACATCCAGCCGGAGCAGGTATTTACGCACCTGGGGACAGATGGGAGATGGCGGGGAGGAAGGGCTGGAGTGGGCAGAGGCAAGGCAGTTTCCAAGCTGCTTCCTCCCTTCCCTGCCCTCACCCAAGCTCCCCTGACCTGATGGAAAAGCAAGGCCTGGCTGACATAGCCCCAGCTGCTAGGGCCTCCTCGAGCTGTGAGCAGGGCAGAAAGCAGGCCCATGAGGAGCAGGGAGCCGCCGGCGGCCCCAGGGCTGATGAGAAACATCATGAGCAGGCAGGAGGCCACCCCCAGCAAGCAGGTATGCCAGGAGAACAGGCTAAATGTGGGACTGGGGTGGATGGAGAGAAGGAAGGAAACTCAGGGCCTGTCCCTACACCACACCATGCCACCCCCAATCCCAGCCTCACCCCCCCGGCCCAAGTCTTCCCATTCCTCCCTCTCTTTCTCTGGGGATACAGTCATATCTCACCGGAAGTTGGGGGCCGAGGCCCACTCCAAACTCAGGCAAGACAGGTCCACTGCAGCATAGGCCACCAAGTAGAAGACGGTGACTACAGCAGCCAGTGTGTTCAGCTTCCCAACCAGAAGCACCAACTGGACAAGGACCAGGAGGCTGGGTGTTGGCCCACCCCAAGCCCCAAACAGCACAGCATTTTGCCTTTCCAGTCACACCTCTCAGCCCCCTCCAAGGTTACAATCAAAGGACCAGGGGACCTGGAGAGCCTCAGGGTAAGGGCAACTTGCAAAAGAAGGCTTACCTGCACTAGGGCCCAAGAATAGAGCACAGCCCCCCAGGGGTTCCCACCTCGGGACACAACTTTGGCTGGCGCCAAGATCATTCCTGTGCAAACAGAAATGATTTAGACATATTAGCCAGGGCTAAATGGGAACAGAGGCAAACAGATCCAGGTGGGCACACTGGAGAGGCAAAGAGGGCGGAGCGCACCAAAAAGGTCATCCTGGGCCAGGGCATGGAGGATGCGGGAGGCCCCGATGAGGGAGCTCATGGAGGCTGACAGTGAAGTGGCGTAGATACCGATCAGCACCAGCGGGGGCCACAGACTGATGGAGCGAAAGAAGCCGTAGTCCTCCTGCAGCAAGGTCCTAGAGGGAGGGTTTGAGGACACGCAAAATAAGTGTGCCTCCACCCTGGGTCTTTGTGAGAATGAGTCCCTGTGTGAGGTTAAAAACTGGCTACAGCCCTTCCTGTTGGCGCAATAAAGCACAGCACTGTGATGCTACTGCAGTCCCTGCAGCTCGAGTGCCATCCCCGGCCAGGGGGCTGACCCACATGGTGTGGCAGACCCCTCCTGACCCGCCCGCTGCTCCCTGTATTTCAATACATCTGCCTGTTCTGCTCTCTGCTCCCCACTCTGTCTCTGGTGAATCCTCTCACCGACCCCCCCAAACATACCCCTCTGGCCTGTACCTCAGTTCTGTATGCGTAAATAATAAATCTTTAAAAATTTAAAAAACTGGGTACACTATGGGCCCCCTGGTGGCTCACCAGGTTAAAGCGCAGCACTATGAAGCTAGCCTAACCGCAGACACTATAGCTGGCCAGGGAGGTGACAGACCTCTCCTGTCTCCCCTGCTGCTCCCCTCAGCAGTGTACTTTGTCAGTCTGCCTGTTCCGCTCCCCACTCTTGTCTTTGGTGAATCCACTCACCGCCCCTGCACCTCTGGCCTGCACCCCAGGTCTGCATGCATAAATAAATAAATCTTTTTTAAAAACAGAGTACACTCAACTGACCTCAGCCCAAGTCTCAGGGACCACAGTGAAGATCAGTCACTATCACTGACAGGATTTGGTTTCATCTGCCTAGTGGCCACGCCCAACAATATATGCACAAGACCCAAATGTTCATGGAAATACAAGTTGACTAGAAAGCCATTCTACCCCCAACCCCATCCATAAGTCAAGTCAAGAGTACGAGGTACATGGCAAACACTGGCAACCCAAGTGTACCAACCTTGTTCGACACCCCACTCCACCCCCTCTAAAGCTAGGTTTACCCCTTCCCCAGGCACCTGTCACAGGTGAAGCTGGAGAGGAAGAAAAGCAGGGTGTAGATGAAGAAGGTATAGGCCACTGCGATGATAGTACCCAGAGGAATTGCCCGGCTGGGGTCCTTCAGCTCCCCTGGAAGGAGGGGAGCAGAGACATAGGTCAGCCCTCCACCATCCTACAATCTGAGCCCTCAGCACCCCGTAGGGACACAGACAGGGTGGTAGCCACACATGCCAGATGATGGAGACAGCAGGCCAGGACTCTCACCTGACATGTTGGCCCCGGCCATGATGCCTGTGCAGCCATTAAAAAGGACAGCGAAGACACTGGCGAAGGTCATCATGGCTCCCGTGGTATAGTCCTTGGCATATAAGGCTGAGGAAGGCCCGTTCCCAGGGAGGATGTCAGCATCAGAGCCAGAGGCTACCACCCTTTCCTCACACCCCACAGCCCCTGGCTTCCCCCACCATTATCACCAAGACCCCAGCGCTGATCTTGGTGTGGTAGTCCTCAGCCCCTCCTTTCCCTATTCTCTTCTGGCCCTTCCTCCAGGCCTTCATCCACGCTTTTTCCTTGGACACTCTCGCTCACACTCCCATCCAATGCCCTAACTCACCCCCAGTCACCTCAAGGTCCCCCTTTTCTAGCAATCCCCAGCATAAGCTCAGGACATCGCATTTGGATTCTTATCTACACACTAGGTCTATGTATTGTTTCCTGAATGTACATATTATCTCTCCAAATAAATAAGTTCCTCTAAGGCAGAGACTATCTGTGGTCACTCTCCCCAGAGCACCAAACACTTGGCAGCCAGCACACCAGATGGATCTTAATCTAACTGTTCTGGTCTGAGGGCCAGACCTCTTGCCCCTGACGCTCTGTGATATCTGTTGCCATGCAAGGATTCTAAAGAACCAAACCCCACACATGCCCACCTCATGGGAACCCCAAGAACCCTGGCCCTCTATGCCAACTCACCACCTAAGTTGGCCTTCAGGGTGCTGCTGTTGAAACCTGTGAAATGGCCAACCTGGGGTGGCAGGGAGCCATTGGAGCCAGGCCGAGGCATCAAGGTGATGTCCCTGGGACCCACAGCCACAAAGCTGACCAGCACAGAGGCCAGGGAACCAGAAACCAGGAGGAATGTGAGGAACGAGGCTCGGGCATAGAGGCCAGCCCCCAGTGTGCAGACCCCGCCCACGAGGCCCAGCAACAGGGAGCCATAGAGCAGACTCCAGCCATAACCCTGGGGCAGGACCCGGAGACCACTGGAACCTGTGGCATCTGCAGAAAGGAAGGAGTGGTGTTAGAAGGTCAGCCTCTGAGGATGCACCTGACCCCAACTGTGACTCAGAGCAGAAGCAGACCTTCTCTTAGCTCATCTATCCTCAAAGAAGCCATCTTCCCATTCAACTGTACCCCCAGCATCCTAGCCCTTCTTGGGGGTTACTACCAATCTTGCTGTCAATTTTAGGGGTTTTCACATGGCCACCCCAAACAGAAGTAAAGCTCCCTCTTGTACATCTACTCATGGTTGGGCAAACAGGAGACGTGCAAGAAAACCAATTTAGAAGACCACTTTGTTCCTCTCCTAGAGGGGGTGTCTCTCCCACATGGTCTCAAAACTCCAGACACTGCAAACCCACAGAGCTGTGGGGAGCACAGACCAGCCCCGAAGACATCCAGCACGGCTTCCACCAGTCCCAGCAGAGAGACAGCACAGCCACAGACGTTAGCCAAGTAGAACATGAGGCCAATGCTGCCCCCAACCTCAGGCCCAAGGGTCCGGCTGATCATGACTAAAAATGGAAGCAGAGGGTGAGTGTTAAGGGAAAAGAAACTGAAATGGAGTATGAGGAAGGGCCCCTTTGTCTCTCTGCAGATACCAGGGCTGTTCTCAGGAGCAGTGTCCATCTCCAGTGGGCATCCCCAAGTCATGTGACTTTGTATAAGTCACTACTGTTCTTGAACTTTAGTCTCTCCTCTGAAAAATAAGTACTACCTAATTGCAAGGACCAAAATGGCAGAAGGGAAGATGTGGTAGACTGGAAGGTGGCTTACATGCCTTCAGAACATTCATTAGAACTGGCTTCCCTCTTGCCTTGCCCCCCAGCGGTTGGAGAGAAGGGCCCCTGCCTCATCCCTGTGAAACCAGAAGAGCCCAGACCCCAGTGCAGTGCACCCAAATGGAAGGATACAGTAGGCTCCACCGCCCCGCACGGCTCCATTGGTGGCGATAGCACAGACAGACAGGACGGTGAGCGCCAGGATGAAGTAGGCAACCAGGAGCATGGCCAAGGCCTGCAGCAGCCCAGCATGGCCCACCACGAACCCTGGGACAGGAGAGGCAAAGCAGGTCCAAGAGTGGTTCATACCCCCACTCATGGTGGCAAGTTATGGAAGGGCAGAGCTGAACACAAGGCCACAGGGAGCCCCTTCCCCAAGCCCTTCACCCACCTACTTCTCCCAGGGTCCTTCCCCAACTTCATCCCAGTTCCCTTTCCTCCCGCTGCACCTCTGGATAAGTTCCATCCCCCCCACCCCCGACTCACCAATTCTCATGAAGACAACTATACTGAACATGGACAGGACTGTGGGCACCACGACACCAAGGAAAGTGGAGAGCTTCCGGGCGGGTGCTCCTCCAGGACCCCCGGCCCCATTGGCAGGGAAGGTAACCCCCTCCTCCCCCAGAAGCCGGTAGGCCAGCAGAGGAGAGTTCTCACTAGCCATGGCCAAGAGCAGGCAGGGGAGGCCACCAGTGGGTTCTGAGGCCTGCAAAAGCGATTATGCTTGAATGAAAAGAAGCTCCACAGAGCCCCCCAAAAAACACCCAGAAGCTTCCCCAACAAGGAAACACACTCACCAGTATCTCAAAGTTAGTGGGGGTAGGGGAATACTGTCCAGGTCACTGCCCCAACAATGACACGCTCCAAACCCCTCAACATTTGAGTAGCAAGGTCCTTCCCGACTGCTGGGGGCCACGCCTTCCCCCCATATCCCTGAGATGGCACTGGTTCCAGGAAGGGGCAAAGATCCTCTCCCTAGTTAACTAGCAGTACAAGAGGAAGGGAAAACTCACCTCCCTGAAAGGGAAGTGAGTTAAGAGCAGAAAGAGCTCCTCCCCTCCCGAAACCTAAGGTGGACCCCCCCAAACTCCCCCACACAATCACCACTCACAGGCAGCAAAAAACTTCCAAAGTCCCTCCCTCCGTCCCCCCACCCACCCTTCCCCGCCTGTCAACCTCCTCCTTCAATACATCTCAAGCTCTCTAGTCCTCTCCTTGGCCTCTCTCACCCATAAGCCCCCAAAACTCTACATACCCCTCGACTAACAAAACAAAAACACAGGCGGGCAACACCAGCTGGGTGCTCCTCCCCCCACCGGTTCCTGCCCACTTTCTCCCGGGGCTGGTTTGAGAGGCCTCAGATCCTCTTCTCGCCGGCCAAGCACATCCCTACACCCGAGTGCGGCCGGCCTTTCACTCACCCACCCGGAGGCCGCAGCCGCTCGGGGATGATCCCCGAGGGGTCCTCTACAGTAAGAGGGGGCGCGGGTGCCGGAAAGACAGCAGCAGCTACCGGGATGCCAGGCCTGGAGCCTGCCCCCCCCAGCACAGCGCCCCATTGGCCCGCGGGCCCGGCCCCGCCCCGTGGGCGTGTCCGGGAAGGCCCCGCCCACCAGGCTCCTGCCACTAACGCAGCTGCGGTTCCACGTGCGCCGGTGGTCCTACGGCGGCTGGCCCTCTGAGTTCTCTCCAGCAGGGCTTAGGCCACAGCGTTCACAGGCCCCCCAACCCTGTTGCAGAAAAGCGCCCACCGCGCGGGAGGCCCCCTTCAAAGCCCGGAGAAGGCAGGGGGAAGCTGTCGCTGAAAGGGGTCTGTGGTGTCGGCGGAAGGCTGCCTGTGGGTGGGCAGGGCCGCGACACCTTGCCCAGGTGAGTGGCCTGGATCGGGTGCCGCGTCGGCTGGCGCATTCTGGAGTCCTACTCTTCCAGTCTCTTGAATCCCTGGGATGCCCCCCCGGATCCTGGCCTCGCCCGTCTCCCCTGCAGGATCCTCAACTTACGTCGCGACCAGTCCCCTGGCTGCGCTCTTCGCTTCCACCACGGGAGGGAGCCATTGGCCGCTGTTCCCCGCGAGCCCTAGCATCTCCAGCGCGGTCACTTAGCACGGTCCGCCACACGTGTGTGTGTGTGTGTGTGTGTGTTGTGTGTGTGTGTGTGTGTGTGTGTGTGTGTGTGTGTGTGTGTGTGCGCGCGCGTGAAGAGTAATGGAAGAAATAAAAAAGGAGCCTAAAAATAGGCTGCGACTCCATCCAAGGACTATATAGAACTCAAAGCCTTCTGGTGCCTTTTTTTCTGAGTAGGAGTTAACAATACACAAACAAATAAAGCCAAAATAGTGGCCAAAAACTGAGGAAGCTGGTCTTGCAAGAAGTGCCTTGCTAATCCCATATATTCTTTAGTAGGGGACTGCTCCTTGATTTTTCAATTAGTGGGAAGGGAGAGTATGAGATTGCATTTTCCTTTATCAAAGTTGGAAACTCAATGCAGCATATGTATGCTAGCTTTGCTTTTTTTTTTTTTTTTTAATTTCAGCAAAGCAAAGATAGACTGGCAAGAACTTTATTCTTTAGTAGGGGACTGCTCCTTGATTTTTCAATTAGTGGGAAGGGAGAGTATGAGATTGCATTTTCCTTTATCAAAGTTGGAAACTCAATG